TTTCGCCAGAAATTTTGTTTTGGTCTACTCATTCGGGTACACCTTCACTATAGGGGCGAAAAATCCCTTCCAAGGGATTTTTTCCAATTTTGGTCCTACAGCGCCCAAATTTGGAGACATCGCTCTGGGCAGCAGGAAAACCATATGGTAAAATTTAGGAAGCTACTAGTTGAGTAGTTTCCGAGTTATTCACCTTTATGTCCGGAAATGTCAATTACGATGCCTACGGATTCGCTAATTGACATGNACTATCAAGAAAAACCCCAGAATTTAATACTTAAACTGGGAGCGACACAAAAACGTGACCTTCTCCTATGACAGCCACCGCTACTACTACAGCTTATTCACGATTCAGATCGAATCTGTAAAAAAGTCAGCGAGGTTAAGGATTTGGCGGAAAAAACGAGGGGTTCATGGCAGAGGAAAATAATAGAGGGATTGCAAAACACGGTGGTGCAGAAGGCGTCAGAGGATGATTCTAAGCTGGACACTATTTATTCAGCAATAGTAGATCTAAAGCACACGGTGGAAAATTCATTGGGAAATAAAGGAATAAAGAATAATAAAGAGACGAACGATGTGGTAATCAAAAGCCAGGGCAGTGAGCCGTTCAGGCGACAGAATGTTGAAGCGTGGGTGGAAGTAGCTAACAAAAAAACAAGGAAGACGGAGGTCAAAAAGAAATCGCCTGCGATTATTATAAAGACTGGGCCAGTATCGTACGTTGAGGCGTTAAAAAAAATTCGAGCAGAGCCTACACTAAAAGAACTTTCCAAGGACATAGTAGCAATGCGGAGAACGGAAGCGGGACATTTGTTAGTGGAAATGAGTAGAGGCTCAGCGACGGTTGATCGTGTTAACTCGGCAATTAAAAATGCAGTAGGAGATGAAATAGTAGTGTCGACCCTGCAGAATCGAACCAGAATTGGAGTATTTGGGCTGGATGAGATCACCACACAGGAGGAGGTTATGGAGGCTATCGAATCAATGTTGGACCAACAAAATAGCGGAATGGAAATTAAGATAACTTTGCGGACCTTGCTGAGAGGGCAAAAGATGGCAATATTAACCATGGCCCCAGAGTTGGCCCGTAGAATACTGGAGCAGGGCCGCCTACGAGTGGGGTACGTGTCCTGTAGAGCGAGACTTTGGGTCGATAAAAAAAGGTGCTTCAGATGTTTAGTTTTTGGCCACAATACCAGGGACTGCACCGGTCCGGACCGAACAAACTGCTGCAGAGGGTGTGGACAGGAGGGCCACTTGATTAAAAGCTGTAACCAGCATGAAGAGCAAAGGAGAGCATTTGGCGAGAAGCTAAAGAAAGAAGAAGCGGTTTGGGAAAGTCGATCAGCTGGCGAGCCAGCATTAACAAGAAGAAGCAGGGTATCCAGTTTCCGGGAGTCGGGGACGGCACCATGTTGATGGCATGCTCAATGTCTTTTCTACAGGGGAACTTAAACCATTGCAAGTTGGCGATGGATTTACTGAGGCAGCAAATACACGAGGAGGGAATAGATGTGGTGATAGCGTCCGAGCACCACGGATTATCAGATGGAGTTGGTGGTTGGCTCGTGTCAGGCAGATCAGCACTCGGCGTTTTCGGAGATCACATGTCAATATCCGATATTGAATACGATACAGCATTTATTGCAGCCAGAGTCAATACAATAACAGTCTACAGTTGTTATGTATCACCAAACACAACCATGCAAGAGTTCGAAGACTTCCTCCACACACTGGAGGGGAGTGTTCGGCGCCGTGGCCTAAGTGGAGATATTATAGTAGCCGGAGATTTTAACGCGAGGTCTGCAGCATGGGGAGATGTGGTGACTAACTCCAGAGGTGACGCGCTCAATGACCTGTTGGTAGGAGTAAACTTAAACATACTGAACACGGGAACGTCGCCGTCCTTCGTAGGCCGAGGGAGGGGATCAGTGGTAGATGTAACTGCGGCATCAAACAGAATTTGCAACAAAATCTGTGATTGGCATATCCGGACGGACATTGAAAACCACTCTGACCACAACTTCATCTCGTTCAATATACAAAATGCGAAGATGAGGAGCAAAAGCCAAGTTTATGAATGCGGATGGAACACCTCCAAAGGACTGGACATAGAAACCTTCAAGACGGGGTATATGTGGGCGAAGAACAACGAAAGTGAGGAGGATGTCAATTTAGAAGACATGATCTTGGATTTCGAGCGGAAAGTACATGCTGCATGCAATTTCGCTTTACCCAAGAGGAGACTTCCCCCCCATGGGAAACCACCAGCCTATTGGTGGAACAGTGACATCGCAGAATTAAGGAAATTATGTGTGCGCTCCAGGAGAGCATGCAAAAGGGTAGGAATAGAAGTCTTAAGAGGGAAAACCTCAGAAGACGTCTTAGACCAATGTAAGGAAGATTTAAAACACGCAAGAAAGAGGCTCAAGGATGCGATTCTCAACAGCAAAAAAAAATGCTGGCAGGAACTATTACGGAGTGTCGACAAGGACCCCTGGGGTAGACCGTACAGGTTAGTAATGGGGAAGTTGAGAGGTGGAACGGCGGTGGAGCGGATGGAACCAGAACTGATCAACAAAACGGTGAGGGAGCTGTTTCCTGACCACTCAGGTATAGCACTGGAGCCATCGACTACACTACATATGGAAACAACACAACTGTTTTCAAGGGAGGAAGTGGACGGAGTGGTACAATACATAAAGGGAAAGAAGAAGGCACCTGGTCCTGACAACGTCACTAATATAATATTAGAAGCGGTACATGTAGCGGATCCGCAAATATTTCAAATGATATTTAATATGTGTCTGGTAGAAGGCGTGTTTCCTATCATGTGGAAGAAGGCTCGGTTGGTGTTACTCAGAAAAGGTAATAAACCCGTCTCAGAGCCATCATCGTACAGACCATTGTGCCTGATTAACGATGTGGCGAAGATGTTGGAGAGGTTGCTGGTCTGGAGAATTGAAAAATGCCTAGCGCAAAATGGCGATTTGTCACCACGTCAATATGGATTTAGGAGAGGAAGATCCACCATAGACGCTTTACGGGTAGTGCACGACACAGCCCTCAGGGCAATAAACAATAACAAATGTTGCGTGGCAGTGAGCCTTGACGTAAAAAACGCGTTCAACTCAATTGGATGGAACCATATAATCGAGGCGATTCGGAGGTGGAACATACCCTCCGCAGTAATGAAACTAATGACTTCATATTTTTCTAGTAGATGTGCATTTATCTCGTGCCCAGCAGACGGCAAAAAAATGGAGGTGAATGTAACATGCGGCGTTCCACAGGGATCGGTGTTAGGCCCAATACTATGGAATATGGCATACAATTCCGTGTTAGAGAAATCATTGCCTGTAGGGGCGTCAGTCGTGGGATTTGCAGACGACACTCTAATCATGGCCGTAGCCGACTCCCCAGAAAATGTTGAAATATTGGCTAATGAGGCGTTAGCTACAGTGGCGGGGGAGATTAGGCGCCTGGGTCTTCAGCTAGCTGTCGCCAAAACGGAAGTGATCTTCTTCAGGAGGAAGTATAAAGACCGCTTTTTTATCAGGAGGAAGTATAAAGACCGTATTCCATTAATTTTGCTAGAAGATGTGCAGATACCGGTTTCTCAAACATTAAACTACTTAGGAGTGGTCATAGATAGAGATTTAATGTTTGTGGAACACATAAAAAAGGTAACTGAACGGGCGATGTCAATGGTTATTTCACTTTTAAGACTAATGCCAAATATGGGTGGCCCAAAAGAATGCAGGAGGAAACTGCTAAGCGGGGTTGTACACTCAGTGCTGCTTTATGGTGCCCCGATATGGGCAGACACTCTGCAATACAAAAAAACAAGTGTAGATGCATTAAGAAGAGTCCAGCGTAGAGTGTTACTTGCCAGTGTTTGTGCCTATCGCACAGTCAGCGTCACCGCCACACATATATTGGCATCGGTACCACCGATTGAACTACTAGCAGAAGAGAGGAAAGAGGCGTACCAATGGAGGAACTCGGCCACCGAGATGGGCACAAATTGGCGATCAATTTTAAGGCGCCGCACATTGGAAAAATGGAAAATACAACTAAGAGATGCAACCAAAGGGGAGTGGACTAGGAGCCTAATCTCAAACTTAGACGACTGGGTTCTACGCAAACATGGGGAGGTTGACTTCCACTTAACCCAACTGTTGTCGGCCCATGGCTGTTTCGCAAGCTACCTAACTAAAATCAAAAGACTAAGCGACCCTTCTTGTTGGAGTTGTGACAGTCCTACGGATGACGCTGAGCACACTTTATTTGAGTGTTCAGGATGGAACCGACAAAGGCAAGAGTTGATGCGAACGATAGGCCCTTTAGAAGCGGGAACTCTGATAAGCAAAATGTTGGAGAGTAAGGAAAACTGGGAGGTGATACAAACTTTTGCCAACAATGTGATGAGTGCAAAGGAGGATTTGGAGAGGTGCAGTAAGGGGCAACCAATGAGGAGATCGATAGCGAGGCGTCTGGATAGGTGATTAATATTAATTATGTGTTAAGTTACACAACATGTATTTATGTTATGTTATCTTGTTATCGTGTTATCTTGTTTTAATGGTTTATATTTTATGTTATCAATGTATCAATGTATTTATCAATGTATCAATGTATTTATGTATTTAATTAAGAATAAACGGCAACGGCCAACCCGGGAGAAGTAATGCTTGACGGCTGGTTCCTCCCGGGTTGTCTATGGTTGCACATGAAGGATAAAAAAAAAAAAAAAAAAAAAAAAAAAAAAAAAAA